TTTTTAACGTGTATCCAAATCCGAGCACACGAGCCTACATTATTTCCGCCTGCATCGAAAATGCAGCCGCCACAGCCGGGATTCGATCCCGCGACCTGCGGGTCAGCGGCCGAGTACCTTAGCCACCAGACCACCGCGGCGGGGCTTCCGGCCTGTACGTGTAAGGGACTAGGCAAGAAGTTGTGGATTCTCGTAAAGCCTCTAAGATTTCGCTCTACACTATATCAGCAAACACGTGATGGCGTGGGAAACGAGATCCTGCAGACGCGCGATGAACCCCCATGCTGCGGCGTGGTGTGGCGATGAATCCACGTGGCGTTCTGCAACAAGAGTTCGGGACGAGTAACAGCAACAAAAACTACGGTAAATTCTCGGTGGGCTCCACCTGCGATATGGGCCATCCAGCGAGCACTGGAGGCGGCTGAGAGACAGGGTCTCTGCACCGCCCCTGGCGCGGCTTAGGCCCACGCCTCAATCCGCTGGTTAAATAAAGTTAGCTTACCCACTCCACTTGCGAGGACGCGTTAACATCGGCTAGGTGCCCGTGATAAACTTGACTTTAAGTCGACTCATGCGCTGCTTCGCAGGATACTCATGGTTCCCTTCCGTGGAGGGTGGTATAAACGTTTTATTCTTAGTCAACGTATCGCTTCTGACCCACCAACCTCTGAAATCCTTCTCTACATAACACGGTTTTTCATTGCCTCGGAGATCATACACTGCGCATAGTTTGCCGCTGCCTCCGTGATCTGCCCATAGTTGACCAAGCTGTCGCGCGATGATGTGATCATGCGACGTCTCGATAACGTGACAAATTTCCGCAATCTGTGATGCCAATTGACGTCATCACGTGATTATTTTTTTGCATCACTCGTGTTGGCACCGACGAGAGATGCGGACGTGGGATGCCGGTTGATTTTCGTGTTTGATGAACCATCTAGGGATCTTGCCCTAAAAAGGTTTACACGCGATATACTTGCGGTGGGTTGCCGGAAGTATGGGAACGGTGAGAGTAATAAAGAGCTTTAGAACAGTGGAAAGCAAATCCTTGCGATTGCGTGCAGCATGCGTGGTATGCTGACTTCTTGTGGGATCTGTGAATGCTAACGCTACGCCCGCAAGCTTTGCGTACGGTATATTTAAAGCTCTATAATTTTACCGCATATCTTGCGTTGGACGCGCAGCCGGGCGACTCTCCGCGCTTTCTTTTTTTCTTTAGTGTTTTTTAGGCGCTACCGCAGACAGTGCTTCTGACGGCCAGAACAGTTTATGTAGCCGGGACGATAGACAAAAGAGAAAAGGCAAGGCTTGCAATGTCGTTGCAGGCTGCGCATGCTCAGTTGTGGCCAACCTCAAACCACGTGTTAGTTGCAGATGTCACCCGTGCAGTGCAGAGCCCCGCGCCCCGGTGTTCTGGGCAAGCGTGTTCACCTCTGTACGACAGGACTATAGGCATACGTTCATCGTTTGAACTGATCTTGGTCTTGCAAAACAAACACGCACTTTTTCCTCACTTGTTCTCTTGATTAGGCGCCTTATCACACAGTTTGTGTTCACCACGTTCATAGCGCACTCTGACATAATGTTGCTATTATTCTGACAAAAAATAAAGTCCGGTGCGTCTGCACAACCGTTAAAGTGTACCAATGGTAAAAAGTTTAGTTGTTAAAGGGCAACGTTAGGGACGAGTATGGTCACAACCCACCACATGGCAGGTCAGCGCATTAAGAAACGAGAGCGAAATTGCACTAGTGGTGTTAAGCCTGAAGCAAGCTGAGATGAGCCTATATGTGCATTACAAAAGCTCGGACACGCTTATAGACACAATGTACGCCAATTCGTATTCTTAGAATCTTCGAGAGACAACTTTTCGTGTGCAGCTAGTCACACATTTACCGCGAGTTGACGAATATAGGCTTAAATAAGCCTTCTTGCGCAACGATTAACAACGTAGTGATGAAGTACACATACCTTTATAAGGCCCTTGTACTGGATGCTCTTCATTTTGAGCGCTGAATATTTTCACGACGTCGAAAGCGTCAACGGCAAGTTCTTTCCCAAGACATGGCTCCACGAATTGCAGGCTTGTTTCCTTGAAATGACTGTCGACGTATTGAAGTTCGCGAAAATCGACGAAACATTGTCAGCTGCTCGCTTGTAGCTGTCTTTCGGGGACGACATAGAGAATCTCGTGGCACACCGCAAGCAGTCACGCTCAGCGCGATGAAATGGTGGAATTTCCATCCGGACAGATGAGCGCTGGCTGGTCCCGGTAATAGGCAGCATGTTTTTGATGAGGCACGCATCACGTGATACACGTGCCACCGTGGGAATCGCGCTTTAGTTATCGAGTCTCGAATAAACGGTGGATCGTTCGCGCTAATATTGAGTAAGTTTGGGGAGTTTTTAATGAGCAAATAGCGCGACATGATTACGAGCGGTGCTCAGTGCATTGATTTTGACTACCGGCACTCCCGCGTGCAGCGTGGATTATTTGCACTGTGACATACAACGCAGTTTCTATTAAGCAAATATCGATTTCATACTCTTTACTGCGTTGTCTAAAAGCACATCCCGCCCATGTGAACAAGCGCTGGTTTCAGTGTTGGTGAGTGCGATTTTACGGCGCATAACAATAGAGCACGAACGAAGCATAAGAAATGATTAACAAGAAGCTAACGCCTCTAATCTTTCTTTACATCTTCGATAGCGTAATGCCATGCATCATTCGATGAATGCGTGGTATTATACAGAAAATGTATAAATAAATGTATCTGGTGCTTCAGACTGGCATATAGTCGAGGAAGCGTGTGCAGGAGCCAGCTGTCGGTTTACTTACCTGAATGAATGAAAACGCTTGGACTGTTAAATCTCGCGTATACACTCTTACGTGTGCGGGATCGACAGTTGGAGCCACCTTACTTGCAGATGCGCTGCGTAGTTCCCGCGCTTTCTCTCCCGTCGCAGTGCGTTCTTTCAGTTGGTAACTGAAATTTATTTCGCCTACTTATCCCGTACGTACTTGTTCGCACTACTTTCGTTCATGATTTCACATGCAGTACGAGACTTTAAGTGAAGCAAGTCGGTCGTTATCAAATCGCACGCCCCTCCATGCATCGCATGCTGCCTTAATGCTATCCTACATATTCAGGCCGAGGTTTACTCGACAGAGGTTTACGTGTAATCAACCACTGTCCATCTTCCGTGGAACCTCTCGTTTTGTCCGCTTACACCTAAAAAGGAATAACATTAGAAATTCAGCGAGAGCGCCACGGTGGCTCTCATCTTGCTCACCTTTTTTCTTTTTCCCGTTACCCCATGAGAGGTAGCAGGCTAGAAACCCACTTTCGAGGCCGACCTATCCTGTTTCGCATCAAGCCTCATCATCATCGTACTACTTTCTGCAAGTTCACGGTGGCACGCTAATTTGGTTGGTTAATGGCTCGACCCACTCCAAAATGGCCGTAGCCAATCACCATGCGCGTTCGTTGTCTTTCCCTCTTCGAAACGGACGTGGCCCATGACATTAACGCTCGGTCAATCCTTCTATACAGACTTGGTTCATTGCAGATGCGGTTAAAAACGAATGTTTCTGCTATGAAACTTTTAAACGAAAACAGCAAATCTAGAGTGGGGTATGAAAACTTGCAAAGTTTCAAAAACCGCTTCACCTGCTTATACGCACGATTGAAAAAAAGAGGAACCGCGTTACGCGAATAAACTTACTGCACATTGTTCCCAGTAAACTGAAGTAGTGGCTATCATACTTTTCGTTAGTTACCATTATCTAATCTGTCATAAGTATATGATTAACTAAAAAATTACTCGTCTAACTATCAAAATGTCAATGAGACATATGTGCCCATACCAAACGACAGCTGTGTGTGCTACTTACAACAACGCATTAAATGAGTGCTCAATTTTAGTGTCAATAAACAAAGCCCACGAAATACAAAAAACAAGACGTGACTGCGCTCACACAAGCAAAAGAAAGCAGCGCCCTCAAATAATCTTAGTGGAAAACACCGCATTGGCTCTTTTGCGTTGCCAGAGACAGCGTTTTGCACGTTGGCAAAGGTTAAAGTCGGGTGCCAACAACATGTGTCACAGTTTTGCATGGATTTTTTTCTACTTGATTGTATACGACGCTATCACCATTCATTTCTCACGGTCAACTGTTCTCGTTGATAACGCGACTGGATCACTGTTCTGAGCGATTACAGCCCTACTATGAAAGCTCAAGGTGGCCCGTTTATTCTGACGGGAAGTGGCAGATAGCGCGAATCGTATTTTTTTTTCTTTCTACATTTCCTTCAGTGCTACTGGCTGTCTCAAAGCGAGTTTGTTTGAGGGCGCGTCCTTCTGGTGCTACTCGTGTTACTATTCATATTTGGTTGGCTTTTTTATCAACAACAAAATACGAGCACGAATTCAGTACGTTGTGCAAAGTACCACAGACAGATTTTTCAACATGTGCATGCATCTGCCTCATTGAAATTTCGATAATTAGGCGAGCATGTATGTCTTGAGTATACGAATATACTTATTTCTGATTAATTGCCGTAAAAGGGTCAGTCAACAGGCTCAGAACTATTTTCATCCCCCCTTCCCCCCAAACAAGCTCGCGCATCTTTTCTACGCGTGACCAACCTTCTTATACGCGCAGTGACGTAACTCGGCGACGCGACGCAGCACGTCGATTGGTCTAAACCAGGTCTCAGCAAATGGTAATGAAGTCAACGTCACCGATCGCCGACCTGACGTCACTGCGCGTGGAAGGAGGTTGGTCAGGCGTACGAAAGACGCCGGAGCTTGTTTCGGGTATGTAAGAAAAGTCGAAGCCTGTTGACTGGCCCTTTAGCGAAAAAATTTGTAGCGGCTACTCTACTACGCTGGGAACAATATTCACTAGCTTTCCTTTGCGTAACGCAGTTTTTTTTTTTATCGCGCTGCGTGATAACTGGGACGTCCCGTACATACGCAGGAAGTCATAAAAAAGGTTGAAGGCATCGAAACGGGGCTATAACTTTATTGGAGCAGAACCTCTCTATACCATCGACTTGTCCCCACCATTGATGGCATTGTCGGTCTTCGGTTTGGATCCCTTTGTGATGAAACGCAGAAGATCGATGTTCGTAACTATGCCAATGACAACCTCTTTTGTCTTGGACACACCTGTAGCCACTGAAACAAACCACAAAAGGCCTGTAAGCAGATCATTATTTTTTTTCGGCAAGTAAGGAAGGAAGGAAGCAACAACAGCAGGCAGGTTAACCAGCAGGCAGGTTAACCAGAATAACACCCGGTTGGCTAGCCTACACTGGGGGATCAGGGAAGGGGACTAGAAAGATGAGAAAGAGAGAAGAGAAGGAAAAGAAAAAAAGGAGAGACTGACAGTAATTTCACTGCAGCGTGTAAAATGTTCGGGTTACTTATGACAAAGTAGAAGAAATTAACTGTAGACTAACTTAACAAGAAGGTCTTTTGGAGTTTTTGCGGCGGCTGCATTCCCGATGGAGCCGGAAATGTTGTAGGCCCATGTGCTCAGATTTGGGTGCACGTTAAAGAACACCAGGTGGTCGAAATTTCCGGATCCCTCTATTACGGCGTCTCTCATAATCATATGGTGGCTTTGAGACGTTAAACCCTACATATTTATCTATCTTTTGGGTTTCTTTTTTAGCGTGCACTCACACCACACAGTACAAGGACGTCTAGCATATCGCTTTCGACGAAACGCAAACTCTGCGTCCGGGATCGAAGATGCGGGATTCAGTGAGCAGCTGAGCACCGAAACCGCACGCCACCGCGGAGGATTTAGGGCAAACAAGAGGACGCCATTCATATGACCTCATTCTGCACGAGAACAGTTTCGATTGCTATCCACGGCAAAAGCACCTTACTGAAAGCAGTGCGTGAGGGTTGCTCATGCTACATGAGTACGTGCACAGTATGTTCAGGTGGAAAATAGTAATACAGCCAGAACTATGGTGTGTGCCACAGCTCACTGTACAGCTTTGACTTTTATTTCTATTCCAATAATTCAAACTAATATTAGCTTATTATTCACCTTTTTTGGCATTAGATTAGTCACGGGTGTCATAGCAAGTGAAGAACAAAAGAAGCGATACTAAATATTTTTTTATGTACTCTTTTAGCCGAATGTCCCGATAATAATATAGTCAATGCCTCACGAAACTAAGCGTGCGAAAGCAAGCCTGCATGCGACATGCGTTAGGCATTGAAACAGCGGTACCCCTATAGCAGGATTTCGTCAGGATGAATGGCACACCTGGAATTTTCAGAAAGTGACTATCAAAACATTTCGGAGGAAACACACACCATGCTAAGTGCGTATAGACGGTTTCAAGGTCACAAGAGTTGTACCTCAGAAAACTTTCAGTCACCTAATTTACCAGCTTATAGCGTAGAAACCTAAAAGGAACTTGAAAACGTGCTTTCAATGTAAAAAAAAAATGTGTCTCTTTAGTTTTTCAGATAGAAGTAACGTGCGTAAAGTTCAAGGGAATCTTTTATAATTTTTATATAGCTCAAAAGAACATCTATTCGAATATATTTTGCCAAATATCAGAAAGAACGTGTAGAAAATCAGCGGGATATTCTCTAAAGCTCTTCTTGCCCACCGATGCTATTTTGGCACATCGGTGGGCGAAACTAGATGTCATCAAGGGGCTGTGTTTGTAAACAGTGAATAAGTCTATATGAATGAATTGATTAAGCCATATGCATTTCGTAATAAGTCGTGCGAATAGATAAATTTTGGTAATTATTTAATATAAACGCGAACATCTTAATCTGAATACGAGTTTTCATAACGATGGCATTAAAGCATCTGCTGCGGCGACTCGGCAGATATTGCAGTTTGCTGCTGAGAACAAGGACGGACATTTGATTTTTAATAGCAATGGCTGCATTTAAGAATAAAAATACTAAGGTATCAGTTCTTTAGGTGCTCGTTTAAATCACTCGATGGAGAAAACTACTCCGATGATTCAAACGATGATCTTTTACAATCTTTTTTCCTAGATTCAACATACGTTCACAACAAGGTATTCAGTGGCGAACGCAAAAAAGCAATGCCGGGGCTGTCGTTAAAATGCGGAGGTGAAGTGTGGTTATGGCGCCAAGCTTAAAACGACATAGCGCTTACGAGAGACTCAGTATGCGCAAGGGTTCAATGTAATTTTCTGCTCCATTTAGAGTCATTTAAACGGCTCACAAAACCCAGTACATGGGTGTTACTATGCGCCGACTTAAACGTAAGGCACCCGTTGCAACGTGCGGGAGTCGAGCTGGCGACCTCGTGCCTGTAGCGATAAAACAAATTTCACGGCAGGTGAATCGTGCTTAGCGAGCGTGGTGAAAATTAGTCGTAAAAACCTTTCCTCACGCAATCCAACTCTTTCTTCCATATTTTCTCTGCCACTCAAAGACAACCAAGACTCGTGGCGCTGCTATCAGCATAGGCGGTACTCTGACGTAGGATGAAAGCTTAACATAGTTTCTGGTTTCTTGTCCCCTCCACTATGACATCGCTAGCTACCGTTCGCAAAAGCTGTGGACCCACGCCATGGGCGTCAGAAATGGGGTTCAGAAGGGGCACTTGATCTCCGCTAACCCTCGACTCCTGCCACAGAAAACTCCAGTGCCCCCCCCCCCCTCCCCGCCATTTCCCCCCTGTGCTGCAATGCGGTACTTCTTTTCGTGCCTTCGCAAGTGACCGTGCCCTCTTGTCGCGCTGCCTACGGATATCATGCAACGCGGTTCGTGCTTCCCAAAACAAAATGCTGCGGACGCTTATGCGCTGTGATAGAAGAATATGCGAAATAAAGGCGCCATATCGATGAGGAGAAATTGTGTCCCGGTGTATCGTTCGTCACTCACTTGGACGTGGCAACCACAAATGAGGCGACAACGGTGCAGAAGCGCTTGTTTGCTGGCTGTCTGAAATCATGCTCGAAAGAGGAAAATGACGTACTTGTCATTTAATTTGCCAGTATAACCAAGCGCGCTAATGCTTGCACGCATTTTTATTTATTATTTATTTCGTCTAGCGGTCATTAACGCAGGAGTACTACTGCTGTGCGTTCATATATGCCTAATATGTGAACACTTACATTCTGTGAGTATTGCACAGCGCACGCAATAACACACTATATCGGAATGATAACTACTACATTTCCTTGAGACAGCTTCAAGGCATGCACACGCTATAACTATTATGCAAGATGTCCTTCTGGATGAGAAGAAGCCCGAGGCATAAGAATATGTTACTATAAATGTAGCAATTTCGGTCTTCCACGAGAGCATCTTGTGGGTCAAGTATTTTCATTTGTCTTTTCGTTTACGTCTGCAAGGCAAAAAAAAGTTAAAAACGCACATTGCTTTCGTGAAAATTTCTCACACTGTTCTCAGCCAAGCAGGCAATTTCTAGAAATAATTGAGATTTGATATTTATGTCTACAAAGAACACTGATCCATTAGGCATCACCGAGAACAACGAAATAAATACAGAAAAAAAAGGAAATCTGCAACACAGATATCGCCAGGACGATACTGTTTGGGGGAGGGCCTACCATCTTCGTAGGTCTGCTCATGTCTGAACCTTCCTCCTCTCCGTTTGGCTATGCTTACGCTAAGAAAGACCCCCCCCCCCCCTCCCCCTGACATCAGTGCGTTCGAAAGTTCGACGAGTATTAAAGTCACCTTGCACTTGTTCTGCAACCACCAGGGCGAAGTGACCGTGTTCGAGCATCGTGGACAGCATGCCCAACGTCGTGTCTAGGGTAACCTGAAATGCATCAATATGTCTTAGCCATTAGATAAACATGTCGTCTAAAATACCAGTATCATTACGTTTTCTACAATACTTGGTAGATGAGACTCTGGCGTTGCGACCGTTCCGCCACTATGGGAATGACGCGCATAATATTGGCTGCAGCGGACAACTACTCTTGGCAATGCAGTGAAGGCTACAGAGCCAAATTGCGAGTATCTTAAAGTAATAACGAGTGTAGTCCACGCGAGCACACTGTAGCATTATATCGACATGATTTCGCAGGCGTATCGGCCACGCATAGGCAATAACACACTTTTTGATGAAATGAGCAAGTGAAAAGACGACAATATTGACTGCACTAACTCGCTATTGTCCTAAATATTACGTGCAATTCACAATGAAGAAAGAAAGCGTACTTCGGTAAAGCGGACATTAAATAATAGGAAACTGTCTGGCGTTTCTGTATCTATACTGTAAATTGATGGCAAACCAGTAGAATAGAAGATCGCAGAATGTACAAAGGTATACATGAAAAGGGTAAAAAAAAAAAGTCGTACACCCGCCTGCATCATGCAGATAGGGAGGAAATCCATATGTATTTGGGAGCAAAAAAGCTTTTGTCGACGACGAATTCGTCTTTGTCGGAAACATTAGTCTGAACTCTTGCGCCAGATTTTTTGTACCACCATGGGCAAAGACTAATTGTGACGAACCGATTGCCAGAAAAATTCCATCGTGAAAGTGCCAACTCGCCTTTCTGAACTGGTCATAGGCAGCCTTTGCTACCGGAGTTGTGGCATCAATCCGCCGCGCCAGTATCTTAGACATCAAGTTTCCGAGAGAGACCATTCCGAGCACGGCTCTGAAAATCAAAGACAACACGTGATTTTTAGCGTCGCCACAACAAAGCAAATAAAGGAAATGTAAGGTGTGTTGCTCACTTGCACAAACAGAAGAGAAGACACACGAGAGCTTTTTTTTCCACTTTTGCTCGTGTCTGGAACACTTCCCTTTTTTCCCCTTACATAAATGTAGTACCTCGTAACTCGAGCCTCAGGCATTCTACGATTCATTATGAGAACACAGGTTTCTAGAAATACACTGTCAAAGATGTGTGACACTTCCGGAGGGCCATCGGTTTGACGTCTTTATGAGCACTCAAACAAGCGGCAAGATTGGTATCAAGTAAAACATTGTAAGGGGTAAGCTAAGATTACGTCCTATTAAAGTGGCACGAAGAGAAAGTATACTGAACGGTGCAATAATATATAGCTGCGAAATATATTAGAATGCCTGGATCTTGCAATAGCATGCGCCTGGCACGTTTCAGTTCTTATCCACTAGACGCACTTGATCTGCTACACGAGAAGGACAAGTCAATGGCTGACCCGCTTTCCTCAACGACGGGGAGCTGGTCGATGCCTTCCGCACTCATAAGCTCCACAGCATCCTGGCAGGTCACGCTGGGCGTTACTGTCAGCGGTATGCGGAGCCGCAAAGAACGCACAGTCTGGTTCCACCACCTGCGAGCGTAAAGGATCGCCATAATGTTTTCGTAGCTCGTACAGCACACGCACATTAACTCAAGTGGGCCTAATAATGCAATAATGATATGTGGAGTTTTACGTCCCGACTTCGTTGACCTGCGTTCCTGCAGCCTGAAAGGTTTATCTGTCTACGTGGTAGCTGCTTCAGATCGCGCTGGATCAAGTCATCTGGACATAGTAATATGTATGCCACGAGAACATCGTTTTGTCCTGTTTATTTTGTGTCTCAATAAGACGTCTTACTTGACCTGGTAAGGTATTGCCGAATGTCTTGAATATGACTGTATGAGTACGCGAACACAGGATGAGGCATACTGTTAATAGCCCCTTTTTAGGTATACAACAATTAGGCACACAAAATAATAGTTTCGCAGAACGAATCACATAAACTTTAGCATTTTTGATTTCCTGTATTTGGGGAATATTCAAGCAATATCCTTGATTCCAAGCCAGTCCCGGCTGTACCGACCGAATGAACAGTCTGGACGTTAGGCACCGCGACATTATGCTGCAGTGGATAAACGTTTCTATTGTGATACAATCAGTTGCTATATTCTGAATTTCCAAAAAGCAACACTGAAGCGGGCAACTTACGAAGGAAGGAACAAAGACAGTGCTGTCAGCGCTTGTCTTACGTCCTCTTGTTTGTCCACTGTCCGCTCCTCTGCTGTTTTTTTTTTTTTTTTGAAAATTGATTACCACCTACCTGACCTCAAACCTTCCTGAACTATTCTATCTTGCGACGAATTGAATAAATGGAAGTGTTTGTTTGTTGGCAACATGTATAGAACACACAGGTTGCTCTGGTGTTTCGACATTTATAGGCCAACCGTTATCGAAAGAGATCAGTCAAGTCACGTTGTATGAGCGGAAAATTCTAAAGGCGGCAAGACGACAAACGTCCTCATCGACCTCTGATGTTTCTGATGTCCAAGTTATTCTGACAAGCTCGTCTATGGTTATGTAGCATTCCACGTACCAGGGGGTACAGATCAGCCAGCAGAAGAGGCGAAGTTTGAGATACCCGAAGCACGTTCTTCATGACGTCTCGAACTTCTCGCTAGACAAGAGTGCCTGCAATCCTAAACGTGTACAAGCGCGCAGGTGCTACACGCAATGAACGATGAAGCCCGAGAGCGTGTCGTTTGCAATGTCTCGTTCCGACATTTTACCTGTGGCGGCCAATGTCTGCAAAACTTGGGCACTATGCTTATTGTTACGTATATGCCACCTCGCCAAAGACGTGAAACTATGTATCTATTCAGTGAGTACAATCATTTTTTGCACAAAGCTTATATCTGCTTAGACATTCAGCCAGCATTCCGAACATGGATGATAACGTCTCAAACCCGCCGTTTTAGCTTATACCAAATTGGGTGTCGGTTGGTCGAGGTCGCGGGTTCGATTTCAGGACACGGCGGTCGACCGCATTTCGACGGAGGCAATACGTCAAGAACACACGTGTGCGTTTATTTATACGAATAAAACAAACTCGCCAGCCCCGTTTAGTCTATGGTATTTAATGTCCAATGGAAAACTGGTCCGAGGTTCGGAGACTCATTCGGTTTCTTTTTTAGGGAGTGACCTTCCCTGCCGGCTCCGAAGCTAGCGACTTTTCTTAGTGGTGTTCCCGTCTCCACCGTCGTTCTCCCCGCCGTTCTTGTTACTGCGTTTTCTCCATCGGGTCCGGAGACCACTACACACACGCTCGGCAGATGCACGGTAAAGAACTTCATGGGATGGTCATAAATCCGAAGCCGCCCGTTACAGCGTGCCATCGTTATCTTATCGTGGCTTCAGCACGCAACAGGCCAACCCTACAACGTATAAGATACGCAAGCATTATCACTTGCACTTTTTAATCAAAACGGCACCTGGTTGTTTTCCAGTCAAGATACGTAGGTTAGATTAAGGCCAAGGCAGTGTGGACTGCGTAGTCAAGCAGGTGGGCGCGTGCGCGTAGCTCACCAATGTTTGGTGCTCATCTCGGAATAGAGCGAGATGAAGCCGCGTTCGGCCATCCAGCCGTCTGAGAGGAACTTGGTCATGTAGTTGCGCACACCGTCGGGAAGCACCACCACACACTTCTGGCCAGCTTTCAGGGACTTGGCCGCCACCACGGCTACGCTCATCGCCGACCCGCTGCTGCCGCCTGCATGTGGACAAAAGGGCTCGACAATGCTGCTCCGAATCAAGTACAGCTGTGAACAAATCCATTAAGGCGAAAGCCTTGCGCGGTGACCTGGAGCGAAACGCGGAAAGCGCAAAAACTGGTGCTAAAGCTCACGTGGCCTTCTATAGCCAGCAGTTGACGGAGAAAGGACGAGCGGCAAATGCAAGACAGAACAACTAAAAACACTTGACTTACGCAACCAATTAGGGATTGCCCTAACGTCATGATATGACGTTACGGCAATGACGTTATAGGCCATCATGGGCCACCGAAATTTGCAATGTTTATCATTATGTTATGACGGGATGTAATATGATGACGTCGTCAGTTGACGACGTAGCTTGATATAGGATGGACTGATCTCGGAGTTTGTGGCTGTCACGTGATTTCAGCACCGGAAAAAAATACTAGAAGTGTCGGCAGTGTGCCACTGCTTACCGCACTGGACGCCAAACGTACCATGCCTTTACGGTACCACTCCCGTCATCGCTTCACAAGCAGAGTTTAACAGCGTTCCAACAAAGCATTTTGTTTTTTGCATTAGCCAAGCTGGAGGGCAACTTTTCAAACTATCCAACCACCGCATGTGCGATGGTAATGTCACTTGATTCTGTTAGTTATTCAGACAAACAACTTTCTACGGAATTAGTTGCAATATTTTGTCATCCTGGAGGAAGAAATCTATACTCACCGCACAGGAGACCCTCCTGTCGGATTAACTTTCTGGCCATGAGGAAGGAATCTTTGTCGTTGCACTTGTACCATGTGTCTATCAGCTGTAATAAATATAAGAGCGATGAACTCGAATGACAACCAACCACATGGCAAGGCACCAGCGGCCGTGACTATAACGCAAGCCTAGTGAGCTGTGTGCCGTAATTGAAATCTACTGCAGAAAGCCTTCTTGAAGTGAAGAGCAATGAGAAAACTAGTTCGGATAGCAAGTGTCAACATTTCTTGTAAAGCATAGCCGCAGCGTGACAGCATGAGCATTAACAGATGACCCTCGGTGACCAACAAGAAAAAAAAAGAAGAAATGCAACCACCAAGTGACAACAAAACACGTGGTGCACTGCCTCGATAGATATCACTAGACTGCTCACATACGCAATGAGCTCTCAGCGCTTACCTTGTATTTCGACAACAGTCAGCACGAAAATCGCTTCGCTTTTCGGAGTGGCTGCAGTCGCTTTAAATAACTTTTGTATAGTTACACCAGGTGGGATAAAAAAAAGAAAATCGTATAACATTCTAATTTTTGCTATCGCCTTCATTGCTTTGACATTGCGGCAACATTCTTTTTCGTTTTTTGTTTGTTTTCATTTCGTTCAACTTCATCAGTTACACATTAGCCAACTGAACATTTTATACTTCGCAGTTATGTTGTCCCGAGGGTTATTCGTGCCTTCTTGTTTGTTTGTTTGTTTTTTGTTGCTAGTCACCGATGTCCCTGTACTCATGCGCATATTGTATAGCAACGGTAGTGTTTTCCAATAAACGTTTACACTTTCGCGCCGTCTGTTGTACTTCACTTCATTAAGTATGCGTCACGAAATGGCCCAAACTTTTAATCTTCCAGAAAGCCTTCTTTTGAGAATCGTGAAAGAAGTGGACATTCATTGGCAACAGCCACAAAGAGTGGAGGGGAGGTTAAACTTATTCACCCGCTCTCATCCTCACTGAGATTCTCTATATTATAATAATTCCGTAAGATTAATACGCATATATATAAGAAGAAGAAGAAGAAGAAGAAAAGTGCGCAGCTTGTACTAGTGGCGCAAGAACGGAACCATCAGCGGGGATACAGTATTCGACTTAGGAGGCAAGTTTTGATAGCACTGTCAAACTTTTGCAAGAGACACCAAGTTTTTGCTAGTAGTACTAAGCATGGCTGCACATGCCCCGTGTTAAACGTGATGCGATTTTAGTGCCGCAACTATAGCTGTAGCGTGGTTGTTGGCGGGTGGATGTCCCGTCACTTCACTAGCAGTTACGCGATTTTGTGTGAAGAAATGTTACGTGATATTATTGCGATAGAAATTATATGGACAGTCTCAGCTGGATTTCGCCGTCGCCGCCACCGTCATTCACGTATATGTACATGTGTATATATATAAAGGGGAAGGATACTTGATTTATATGTGGGGTTTAACGACGGGCAAGGATGCACTAGCCTCCTTTTTTCTGCCGAGCGAACATCGGTTTTCCGGCCAGGCTCGTCTGCGCGTGCCAGCGAACAATGGTGTGTGTGTGGGGGGGGGGGGGGGCGCTTATGGTTGCCGCGCTATCGCGGCAACGATCAGCGTGCGCCTTGTGCCCCCCCCCCCCCCCCCCCAGCAGGCGGGAGCTTCTACGGGCTGCGCTCTCAACACGAAAAAGCGTGGCAGCTTGGGCTAGTTGGTATGGCATGACGGTATGGCATGTTCTCGCGCGATAACTATCGTCACGAAAAAGCGGTTCCAAGATTGTACCTGGAGCGGCCGTGTTCTGTTACACCAGCGTTTTGTAGAGTTACGTGAGATAATATCTAAATGCGTTGACTGCCAGCCTCACTTCGCATATCAACACCGTCTCCACGCAAGAGCCTTGTTCTGGTCATCTACGGCGGCCGCGCCGCAGGAAACTTGGTTGGTTAGCAAGCTGAATGTGTACTACAATCAATATTGCTCCTAAAAATGCTGGCCTTGCTTCGCAAGACATTCGAATATGTTGCTATCGCATTCATTACTTCGCTCTTTTGGCCGAACAGTGACTAACTTTTTAATCACGTAACTATATGTTTAAAAGTTAAAAAGTCACAGTTCGGCCAAAAGGGCGAAGCAATGAATGCGATAGCAACATATCCGAATGTCTTGTGCGAAGCAAGACAATCACGTAACTATATGTTCGGCGACTTTTAGCCAGGGGAGTAGTTTTGTGGGGTTACACGATTCTACTCACTTGATTAGTTACGTGATGTACGTTATTGTGAGTCGCGTGAGGTATGTTACGCAATTTTAGTCACTGACTAGTTATCACGTGGTCTTACGTGATTTTATTCACGCGGCTAGTTGTCATTTGATGTTACATAAACTGTAGTCCCGTAACAGACTTGCCCATCATGATTGTTGTATTGCCACGAAAAATTGGCAAACGACTTGTGGGAGTAAATCAAAAGTTGAAGAGGGCGAAACGAGCGTGTACTGCTATATGATGATGATAATTATTGTTCGCACCACCCGGCGCGAACGAAAGGCTTAAGATACTCTTTCTTTAAAAAAAAAACTCACTGTTATACATTGTACATCGTGTAAACACCTCAAATGACAAGTGAAACCTTACGCTTCTGTCGAGGACTGTGGGTACGAAGTCGTAGCCGATGCCTTCCACCTCGTACATTGTCACGGAAGGGTCGTTGGGTTCAGCATCGATGGCCAACTCCGAGCCGTGTGGATCAACGCCTACAATCTGCCATGCGGAAAGTTTGGAGAAATACCATTAACCGAAGCGTTCATATCCTGAAGTAGATATTCGATAGTTACACGTGGACGCTTTTTATTTGCACTGATGGACAACTGAATCAGTGGACTGATTCTGAATGAAGATTACATTGCTTCTTTGAAGCAGTCAGGTAGCATCACCCTACATTGACGACCGACAAAGAGAGGGAACTCACACTCAGAATGTAATGAATGCATGAAGTCACAATGCCCGGCTACCCTGAACTGTTGTCTCTCTTGTATTTGTTATGCGATTCTGCATGACTGCCTTTGTTACTCGCTAAACCCATGTACCGCGTTACAGCTGTAGTTAGATTCTGCGTTGAAATGGAAGCCTCTATACGCAATAACGGTGTGCATGCGTCACCTATAGGGTCATTAGGAATGTGTCAAAACGAATCTTATGAGTTACAGACACCGCCAGGTACGCATTTCCTGGAAAATAATTACATTTGCGAAAAAGTCGGAATACGACCCAAGCTGCAGGTTTTTCAATCTTCATATTTTACGTAGGTAAGAAAATGAAAGAGGGGATGAGGAATTACGCTAATAATTGAGGCAATTTGTTGGGTTTATAATAGTGCAATACCGTAAACCTAATCCACCTTAAATGCTTTAGAAGTTTTCATGCTTCCCTAAACAGAGTTCCTTCAGTGTCTTTGCTACAACTCTCGCAAGGAAAGATTCTTAAAATATGACATGTCTGCTTGCAAATATGGGGCAGTAGAGACGCAAAGAACTGGAGCTTCAGTGTCGAGTTCGTGTGTGCAGTCGAAGTACGTTCTACGATGAGCAGCAATGCCACCTCATCTGAAGTATGACAACGAAGTGTTTGTTGCTTCTACCTGAACGTTGGGGAGTCGCTCCTTGAGCTTCCTCGCGACTCCAGTGGCCGTGCCACCAGTGCCGGCACCCATGACCACCATGTCCAGATGGCCACCGCACTGGTCCAGTATCTCCTCGGCCGTCGTGTCGTAATGGGCCAACGGGTTACCCGGATTTCGGTACTGCAAGGTGTCAGGAGTGTCGCCTCGAAACTATGCTTTGGACTCTTAATTTAATGACGCCACCGATAACGAAGTAAGCAATTAATCTAAGGGTAAAATGGGAGCAATAGCGTCCCGTCACATAGGTCTGCTAACTAGATAAGTATTCTATTGGACCAAAGTGCTATGACTATAGTGCTGGAGTTAACCTAGTGATGCGTGCGTCTTCAAGAAAGTATGGACATCTCAGAGTGCGCCGGAGAGATAGCCTTCAACAAACAGGTTTCAAAAAGTACTGAAGTTCAGATTGGCCCGCACGCGAAGCCGTAACTCTACCATGTTGCCATGGGCCAGATAAAACTTTAGCTTAGAGCGTGGGGAATATGGCGATTCTTCCAAGCACTCTGGGAGTTTAAGCCGGCGTGCGTCGTATACACACGCACGTTCAATTTGTCTCTGTGTTGCTGGTTCCTCCTAGAAGCCTCAACATGACGATTTTATGACATTGTGCTTGCAATACTCATTCGGATTCATTAATTTTGTCAGGAACAGTGATCTCTTCTTTTATAATGAACCTAGAATTCACCTTAGCTGAAAAATATATTTCATTAATCAGGCATCGAAAAACAAAGAAAAACAATAAACAACGCTTCTGGGCGAAAGTATGAAAAAATGCTCGCTTCACATTTGTTACTGAGACGGTGCGAGAACTGCAACTCCGGCTTTTTTTTTTTTTGACGTCCTCAGTCGTGAACCTAGACAAGGGACAAGATGACGTATGCAACTGTTTCCTCCGACCTTGCGACTGACTCCCGGTGCATCTTGCCACTATATTTAAGTTCGTCAGTACGTGTGTGTTTTTGAAGTGGGGATGTGTTGAGGCGAGAGCACAGGCGGTTGCAGTGTCACGACGATGAATTTTATCGCGCAATAAAAGCAAGAAACGCACCTGATCGAGGATGACGGCACCCGGGATTTCGCGGCAAAGGCTGAAGGCGACCGAGATGTGCGACTCGGGCGAATCGTAGCGAGCGCTGGTCGGTGTGCGCACTATCTCGGCTCCCAGCGCACGAAGCACGTCTACCTTCTCGCGGCTCATCTTCTCCGGCAGAACGATGATGCAGCGGTAGCCACGAATAGCCGCCGCCATTGCCAGACCAATGCCTGCGCAGCGGGACAGGATGCCGCAAGTGATTGCATCTGTCCATAGAGTTTCTCATATACACAATAGAGAGAAGTAGCGCTCTGGCGCTAGTGCCTATCGGAGCTGCAATCCTATGGCGCTTCAGCGAGCTTGGGAATTATGGGTAGTACACGGATTTGCCTATACTCTTCGTACTTTACGTTCCTTCTGGCTTCACGTGACTTGAAGATGCATGCTTTGTCACGAAACAATCGGCAAACGTTCAGCAGTTGCACTTCACCACATTAATATTTTATGCTTACCATTTCATATCGGGTCACAATGTTCAATAGGGTTCGTTCTTTCCTTCGAAAAAAAAAAAACGGAAACAGCAATAAGCGAAGCCACAAGTGCGATTCGCCGCCCGCAAGTACGAAGATTGGGCAAATTCATGTACTATACATAATTCCCATGATCGCCAATGGATCGTAGCGCTAAAGTACCCTCTAGTTATTTTTAGGATATTGCATGGCACTGTCCAAGCAATTATTGGTCAGCAGCTATCTCGTAATAAGGTCATGTACTACGTGACGCCAAACAGGCAAAACAGAATGTTGCACGCTCGCCGTAGTAGCAACAGGTGTCGCTGACTGCTGCTTTCATGTTTATATGCTCATACATACCCTATAAAGTAGACAGGGGGACGACCACCATCTTATCTAGCTCAGTGGTTGAGCATCGGACGCGTTATTCGAAGGTCGCAGGTTTGGATCCTGCCGGTGGTAAGCCATCTTTTCGCCCCCTTTCTTTCTTCACATTTACACTGTGATTACTTCAAATACCGTCCCTATACTTTCCCTGGCACTGTCAACGTGTGCTGAATCTCATTTATATTGTGTCTAACAAAGTAAACGAGCCCTTAAATTTACACTTTCTTTCGTTTTAAACGTTGATTGCTCGGTTGATGGAGCCCAGCGTTGAAGCCACTCAGTGTTTCTTAACCTGCTTCGATATCGCACAATAGACGAGCCTCTCGTTTCGCCTCCATCTAAATGCGAACGCTGTCACCGAGATCGAACCAGTGTTTTTTCAATCAGCAACCGTGTAAGAAGTGCATCCCGACAGCGGCCCGTATACGCTATATTACACAGACATGCCTCATTGAGACGTCTTTCAACAGGCAAGAACCATAGTACTCATAGGATTCGATGTCATTTGTTATCTGATGAGAATAAATGCAGTGATTAAGAAGCGCGCCCTTTATTTTACTTTTTTCGCCACCAAAATTTACATAAATTTCTTTTTCAGGCGAAAAAAATCTTATTGGACAAAGCTAACTTAGAAACCAAATGTTTTGGCTGTAATCCACACAGCAAATTTAATCGAAATTGGAAATAGTGATCCGGACCTTGCGTTCGATCTTATCTATGCACACCCGGTAGGCGTCGCGGTAGAGTGCCACTAAAGATATAGCGGTAGCAAAGCACACAGGCTTACCCGTGTTTCCCGAAGTGGGCTCGATGATGACCGAGCCGGGCTTGAGGATGCCGTCCCGCTCGGCCTCCTCGACCATTCGCAGCCCGATGCGGTCTTTGATGCTGCCCCCAGGGTTGAAGAACTCGCATTTAGCCACTGCGCATGGCGAGGTATGCATTGGTCTGAACATTTCCGAGAACCTGCACACCATCTTAACTTCGTTACTCTTCACTGAAATCAAATTGTCGTTCTCTTCGAGATAATTTCGTTTTCTGGCGTTGCGCGCCGAAGGGCTACGTTCTCCTATACGGCAGGGCTCACGACACTGATGGCGTCCGGCAATAAGTTTTCGTTATGAAAGAGTAAATTGTCAGCCATCTCGTTACGTCAACGGGATAGCGGACGTCTGTAGAAGCCACACAAGAGTTAAAAATTAACATTCCGTTAGATTATTAGATGCGAAGCAGCATATGGCGGTGGCAGCGTTCGTCTCTCCCTCACTCCTTCCGGCGGCGTCCACTCCCCACTGCACATGCACGTCTCCTCCTCCTTTCTCTCCCCTCCCGTGGCGTTAACACAACCACAGAGCATGCGCGTCCCCTCTCTCGTGCGCTGCCCTCTCTCTTTCCTCTAGAAATCTACTTTCCTCTAGGAATCCTCTACTCTATGAAGCGGCGAGCACCAAGGGTGGTGAGACTGCTGCCTACGCCGCTGGGAGGCGCCACACTAGTTCCGCGAAATAAAATAACGGAGCACGGGCGCGCCGTTTTCTCCTGCTCCACGCCGCGATGCCAGCCAGCGTCAACGCCATCACCAGTGTCAGCTTTAGTGCCAGCACAGGCTCTCAATGAAGTACGCTATCTGCCGCTCAAGCGAAGCTTCGCATTCACACTTAGTTCCCTTCAGCGGGAAATGGTTTAATTTTTTCACCAAGCGGTTGCTTCACGTTACTCCGTTTTTAGTTCCTCCCCAAACTTGTTCAGGTTTCATTTGACGCTGATAGTACATCGTCTGCCGAGTGCAGTGATTCTATATTTGACTCGCACGTTCATAGTAGCCTCGAATACCAATCGGCAGCGTTTTCTGACAATGCTGAAAAAGTGTCGGAGGGCCCCTTAAAGTATGCACCATGCTACGCCCTCTTGTACATGCAACGCCCATCAGGTTTGTCACGTTTTTTTTTTTTTTGCTTGCTCTTTGACGTAAGGATACGATTTCAAGCTTCCAATTTGCCGTGTAAAAAACTTTCGCGAAGCTCAGTATTCTTGTGCACTTCAATTCGCCAAGTATATATAAGCACTAACTCACAAAAAAAAAATGCGCAGTGCTGCTCCAACCTGTCTTAGTATAGTTTTACGTGGCTTGCTGACGTACTCACATAGTTCGCATTCCAAGCCATACTCTTTGTTTATCCTGTTGATGCGCACCATTGGTGTTTCTCCGACATGATGGAGGATGTCTGGGTAGACTTTTGGCTTGGGTGCTCTGTAAAATAAACATAAAGTCGTAAAGCTACACTGACACAGACGTCACAAGGCAAGAAACAGCCACCTCTAACAATTGATCTTTTCCCATTGATTTTCCTTCGTTTTAATTCCGCAATTGACATAATTTCTATTGCTTATGCTTTGTTTTCATTCTCAGTCATTTAGAATCGCAGTGATTTAAAAAAGATGAACCCATTTGTCTTAATCAGTATTTTCTTTAAGATGAGACAAGGCATATGAGTCATTTCAGACCAAATAAGAAGTGTTTTGTTTTAAACACACACTATGACAAAAATACACTGACACACACATTGCAATATCACTTCCTACAGTATGTGCCTTTCGTAAACCTGAATTAAAGAGGCACGTTTTCGAAACGTCATCGTCCGAGATGACCACGGAAAAAAATATCCATTAGTGCCAGAGAACTGAACGTATTATTCTTCTAATTTCATAATCTGAGGAGACAAGCAAAAATTGAGACGTTGCGTTTTGCATTTTTTTTCTCATCAGTAGCGACAATTGTGGCTTCAAATACCGTGCGCCTATTGTAGAGACATGCCGGAAGTTTTGCTTCATAGCGGTCGTATGCAGCGGGTGATGCAATAGTCTTCAAAATATGATATTTAAATGGTCCCAAACTACTACACGTTCGAAGACGAGACAGTGGTTCCTCTTTCACTGTTAGTACCTTTTCTACCGGCGCTTCCTCGCCACTTCTTTGACAAGAACTGAGCCTATCAGGTGTACGCGATTTCCTTATCACCACTTGCGTTGTCCAAAGCGCGCGAAATGAAGCGAAATCAGTCGATCGCACACTATAGTCTGGCGAAACGAAGCAAAACGGGCGTGCGACTGCATGGTAAATCAGCGTAACAGACCATTCACTGCTCACATCCCTGTTATAGGGACCACTTTCCACCACACATGACGTTACGTGAAAAGACTGAGAAAGAAACGAAGCGAGCCGAAAAAAAGAAAAGGCGGGAAACACCAGGCTCGTTCTTTGTGTAGTCAGAGATCATTTAAAGGCCCTCAAAGTTTAAGCAGTCCTTTTTAAGGACGATAATCTTTCTTGGGAACCTTCGACGCAAAATTTTTTGTTTGTCTGTCTGTCCATTTGTCTATTTGTCCACCCTTAACGGTACCGTGCACTATAAAGGCCCTCAAAAATGTAAACAATCCTTTTTTGTAAATGTTTTTATTCTATTTTTTACGCGCTGAAGAGCCGCCATGCTGGGATTAGGCATCGTCGACAAGCTTTTGTTTTCGAAGGTGCAAACCAGCGTTGCATCGCGACAGGAATAGGGCAAAGTACTGGTATTATATGAAGGGGGCAAGTGGCCGTTTTGCTTCCCTCTGCCGACGTCCATGGTGACTGTGCCTGTCAAGCTAATCAAAACGCAGAGGCACCGGCGTCACGGTCACATGACGAAGCGTCACTTCTGATGCCGAAAGTCGCCTTCGCGCGTCGCTGTAAGTCGGTGCAGAAAGTAGTTTCTACGCTCACGCTAAATTACAATTCCCTTATTTCCGTGCTCCTACCTGCACTGTGATATTGCCGCATTCCTGAGCACCAGAGTATGCGAAGAACACGACATGCTTACTTTGTGTCGCAGGACCCTGTTATCTCTCTCTCTCTATGAGAGGTGCCAGGAGAAACGTAGCTGCGCTTGAAACGTTACTTCAGGGCCGTAAACCGAACAAATGTTGGGGCAACTACGCATTTGCGGCTGCGAAGACAGAGGAAACAGGAGAGCTATATATACCCTCCTCCTCACACTTGCTTCTTCTTTCCACCCTCATAACCTTCACACTACTGCTCCTCATCCTTACTTCTCTATGCGAAACGAGCTGCGTACATCGAAAATAATGTGGGAGTGAAAGGGTTAAAAGTGCATCATGCCGATGTCAAGAAAAAATTTGCTGCCTTGAAATGCAAAAGTGTTTACAGAGTACCCACTTAGTGACATGTCGATGTGGAGATTCTTCGACTGGCCTTCCAAGCTTCCATGAGCAGACGCTGTCCTTATCCGGAAGTATGATGCTCTCTGTCTTATGCGTGCAGTACTTTTGTCCACGATGCTAGCGGTGAGCAGTCACCTACGCAAAAAAAAGAAAGAAAGGTGGAATCGTCATTCATTTTGTCACATGGCATTAATGCAATTGAGGCACACCGCTGCGAAGTTTTCCCCTATATTGACCGGCTATTCAATGCCACCAGCCTTTAGTTTGTTAGTTTACTTACTGCTGATGAGCGGTACAGACAGACAACCGAAGTGACGCCATTGGTTCAGACAACGATTTTACGGTGGCATTGGCTTCGATTTCAGTACGCGCATTATGCGCGCACTCTAAAGCAACTTCGCACCCTTAAGGGTGTTTTGTGCGTCTATAACACCCTACAAGAAAACAGCAGAGCTAGGGCAAGCACCCTTAAAGGAGTAAACTGGTTCACAGTGCGAGATTATCAAAAGTACAGCACCCATACTGAACAAGCGAAGTAGATCCATCGTTATTATGACAAAGTTCGCTCGCTCATTACGAACGTCTCTGAAAGCATTGCAGTTGCGCTCTTCACCGTTTATACACTCTAAAAAAATATCGAGTAAAAAGGGTGTCTTTTTGTCCCACAACAATAATCGTCTGCAGGATTGCGTGCGCTTCCTTTCTTGAAAACTCGCCGCTGGCCACTTTCCTATCGAGAATGCAATGTAACCCTGATAATGGGCATGTCGATCGTGACCGGAATGTACCGGGTGCGGGGCGACAGCGCAAGGATGGAACGCAATATAGATGACGATTATTGTTGCGGGACAAAAAGACACCCTTTTTACTCGCCCCTTTTTTTAGAGTGTAGGTTTTCCTTTCGTTACGTGAACTGATCTAAATTCATCTGTCTGCAACGTTTATCAGTCGTGGCTTTTTTTTTACTCTTCGCAAGAAATTCTCCGATTCTCCTGTTTCACTCAACCGCCTGTCTCCACTAATTATGAAAATCAAGCTTTAGTTAAAGATGTCACCACAAAAAAAAGTAATTGTGAATGCAACGAGCACGTAGCACATTCCCCTACTTTTTAAAGATTTTTGGACACATTTCGGACACCCTTGATAGTCTGTCTATGCATGCCTGCGTGCCTGTGCATACTATAGCTTCGCATCAAGTGTTGACAACAGGCTGTTTGGTTCACAACGTAAACATCACATGAGCTATTGATTCCCACATTAGAAATAGCATCGGAGGAACACTGCGTGATACTTTATTATCCTTTGAGAAATCGCTGCCATCAATAGGACGCGCAAAATGGCGATTCACGATGCTCAAATTCAAACAATCCACGACCGCCAGATTAAGCCAACTACTATCCACAACATCAACTCCCACAGTGCGTGGAATCTGAGGTATTTTTTAAATGCACCATACATCCATCAACGTCATATAGATGATGTATGTGTGCGTCATCCTCTTCATGCTTACGTTAACTCTGCGGATGTCACCTGAGAGCGCCTTTGACGGAAGGTGCACACAGATGACGTGGTGCGCGCAATGGTGAAATAGTCTTGCCACTAACGATCTGCGCATGTTTTGAGCCTCACAGTAGCGTAGGTAGGTGTCGCTGACGGCACAGAGTGACACGTGTTCACACTGAAAGTGCTCACGAATGTACATTACATAAAAGGAAGCATATAGTGGCCAGGCTATCGTGGATTTTGTGCATACCTTCCACCTCGTTATGAGCACGATGTATACCTTCTGCTCCAGCCAACTGCAAGTTAACGTAGCTTTTTTTTACCATTTTACGACAACGTTTGATCTAAACGACTCTTGCGCACGGTTGAAAGCGTGCGATTAGCAGCCGGAAAGCACGGTACTTCATTTTTCTCGTTCGATATACATGCCAGACGGCTCGAGATGCTTCGCTTATCGAACAGATAACAGCACAGATGGGTTTTTTCCAGGATTACAGTTTACTAGTGGGTACCGTGCGAGATAACCACACTTCTTCACGGAGATAACACAATGCGGTTCATAGGCCTCACTTCGTGTGAATACTTGGCTCAATCCCAACAGTCGCGTTTTCTTTTCTCACTCGCTGCCTCTTCCACATTACTAGTCACGTTTGTGCCAGAACTTATAGCCACAGTTTACTTTCGCATGCCACATGCACAACCAACCTCATTTATCAAAATTTTTAACGCGATAGTGTTAAAAGTGATTGAAAGATGTGGCATAAGGTTAAAAACGAGATGAACGAAGATGGCCCAACATAGCGTACTGTAAAAGAGCTCGTTTCACAGAAATTCTGGCGTTGTGTAAGCGTGGACATCGTTGGTTGTGAGCGAAAAATTGTCATTTTGTCCATGACCAAAAACTCAAGAAACAGGCAAAAAAAAAAGAAATAAAGTTTGCTGCTCCGAAGGCGGTTCGAACCCAGGCAGTATGCGTGGCAAGCCGCTGCTGTGCTACCACAGAGCACAATATATATATATATATATATATATATATATATATATATATATATATATATATATATATATATATTGTTGAGACGTTTATTGGCGGACACTTTGTCGATGATGCTTGACAGCGACAGTCAATGCGGGTACCGACTCACTGCACGAGCTGTTCTTCTTTTTGCTAAAAGGGCGACCCACTAGAAGGCGCTGGAGAGGACGACCCACTGTTCGAAGGGTTCGCCACAACCACCCCGGGTACGAAGAGGGAGCCGCCTGGCGACCTAACAGCTGGTTACTATGAGCGGGTCGTGGTAGGCTTTGAAGCGCTCCACGTTGAAAATGTCGCGCCCTCGACGGCGCATGTCCGAAGATGGTTCGATGGGTTTGATCAAGTAATTTACAGGGGAAGTGCGTTCGACGACACGGTAGGAGCCTTCGTATTTGGGCAATGGTTTTGAAGATAGGCCAGTTGAAGTGGTAGGGATCAAGAGCCAGACGAGCACTCCAGGGAGGAACATGGGCGCAGTAGTGCTGGTGTCAGCGCGAATGCCTTTTTGCCGCTCTTGATCATGCGCTGTAAAGGTCCTTGCAAGCTGTCGACACTCTTCAGCAAGCTTGGCTGTAGCAGAAATAAGCGCCCACTCGGACGGATCTGGCTTGTACGGAAGTATAGTGTCGTTGGTGTGCGACGGGTGCCTTCCATATAATAAAAAGAAAGGTGAAAAGCCAGTAGTGCTTTGAGGGGTGGTGTTATATGCGTAGGTGACGAATGGTAGAATGGAATCCCAATTTGTGTGATCGGCGGCGACGTACTTGGAGAGAATGTCGCCGAGCGTACGGTTGAAACGTTCCGTGAGGCCATTCGTCTGCGGGTGGTAAGCAGCAGCTTTGCGGTGAACAACGTTGCACTCTTTGAGAATGGCTTCGACGACTTCAGACAGGAAGAGGCGGCCTCGATCCCTGAGCAGTTCCTGGGGTGGACCGTGTCGCAGCATGAATCGTTGGAGCAGGAAGGAGGCCACATCGCTCGCTGTAGCCGCGGGGAGAGCGGCAGTTTCGGCGTATCGCGTGAGGTGGTCCACAGCAACAATGGCCCAGCAGTTACCAGCCGAGTATTGTCAACTGCCGAGCTGCAAATCGGCACTTCTTTAGGTTCAGTTGCAGACTGGCGTCACTCAGGCGCGTTAAAACATGCCGCAGGCGTTGAAGATGCGTGGAGAAGTCCGGAGCAATAACGACGACGTCATCGAGGTAGCACAGCCACGTGTGCCATTTCAGGTCACGCAGAACGGTATCCATCATGCGCTCAAAGGTGGCGGGCGCATTGCACAGCCCAAACGGCATGACGTTGAATTCGTACAAGCCGTCGGGAGTTACAAAAGCGGTCATCGGTCGAGCGTCCTCAGCCATAGGTACTTGCCAGTACCCTGAGCGCAAATCGAGAGATGAAAAGAATTCGGCTCCTTGCAGGCTGTCAATCGCGTCATCTACACGCGGTAGTGGATACACGTCCTTAACGAGTGATCTTGTTGAGGCGTCGGTAGTCCACACAGAACCGCACGGAACCGTCCTTCTTCGCGACGAGAACGACAGGAGACGCCCACGGGCTGTTAGAGGGTCGAATAACATCGCGGCGCAGCATGTCGTCCACTTGCTCGTTGATTACACGGCGTTCTGTGGGAGATACGCGATATGGACGTTGCCGTAGTGGTGGTTGTGCGCCTGTGTCGATGCGATGCGTAACAGTGGATGTGCGGCCGAGAGAAGGTTGAGCGGCACGCGCGCACACACACACACACACACACACACACACACACACACACACACACACACACACACACACACACACACACACACTCACACACACACACACACGTCGCATTGCATATAAGACTGTTCACATACTCGAAAAAATACCAGCGAATAGCAGCACAAAAAGCAATGAAGAACTATCAGCATTGCGCTCACTATTAATCAGTACCTCGGCATGCGTAACAATGGTTCAACTCACCACGCAATCCACTCCGATACATCCTCTTATACCTTCAGCGCTTCAAGAAGATGGCACACAGATTCGCAAGAAATATTCTTGCACAGATCGCACTTCTACATCGGCATTTTCAAAGGCATTTAGGGTTTGTCGTAAGCTGTGCAGGCTCAGGAGAATAACGAACGTAAGGTACTCCAGCCTCGTTTCTCGCAAAGAAAACAGGTGGTACGGTGATTTGACCTTTTTCAAGGCTCTCTGCAATATTTTCCAGAAAAACACTTCGCTCGAGCAATCTATAAACACGTATTGAATTTTTTTATTTCAATGCGTTAGTAACAATGCGCCCCATGGGTTGAATAATCGCCTACCCTTCAACATTGTTTGAACTGGTAAAGTAACAGAATGCAGGGTAAATAAAGTTTTGACCCTTGGTGCTACAAACATTTTGCTAACACGTTTAAGAACACACATCCTGGGTCGGCACAGTATTTTACTGACAGTACAATATTGACGAGGTCTTTATACCATTTATTACGTGAGACTTCACTCAGATACTCTATAACTAAAACCGCTTGAGGCCCGTGTACATAGATTTAGGTGCACATTCAAGAACCCCAAGTCGTCCAAATTTCCGGAGCCCTCCACTACGGCGTCTCCCATAATAATATGGCAGTTTTGTGACGTCAAAGTCAGAACAATTATTACTATTTTTTAACGAAAATCGCACTGACGAAACGCGGAAGGACGAAACTGTATACTTCCTTTAGATACCCTGGATTGGTTCTTGCACATTTCATGAAGACACTAGAAATCCCGGCAGCCCTAGTTGTATAACAGTTTTCAAAAAAATAAGGGTCGTTCACTTCCCGCAGAAAAAGAAAACGGTTGGCCAGTAGTCAATTATTTGTTGAAACTGTTTTGCAAGAAAGCACTATACACAATGGGCATGCAGTGTAGGGAGTCTCCGAAGGCATCATGATTGATTTGATTCATAAGTGGGGTTTAACGTCCCAAAACCACCATACGATTATGAGAGACGCCGTAGTGGAGGGCTCCGGAAATTTCGACCACCTGGGGTTCTTTAACGTGCACCCAAATCTGAGTACACGGGCCTGCAACATTTCCGCCTCCATCGGAAATGCAGCCACCGCAGCCGGGATTTGAACCCGCGATGCGGGTCAGCAGCCGAGTACCTTAACCACTAGACCACCGCGGCGGGGCCTCCGAAGGCATCATGGCGCGGCAGAAGCGTATAGACTCGCGCCAGGCGTCTACAGATGTGAATTGAGCAACGAGTGGGTTTGCATAAAGGCCCACTCATTAGAAAGCGCCCAGACACGTTGAATCATCATCAGCAGCACAACCATCAGCAAAGTGAACAGCTGCGTAGGTTCGCGTGGTGCCCTATACGGAGGCGTAGGGATAATTATCATGTAGAGGGCTCTCAACAACTGTGCTTGCTTTAGACATACAATGGTGCTTTGAAACGGCGAATGTTACGCGCACAGTCGTTCTGTCCCTTGCGGCTAAGTTGAGGCATGCACTGAGAACCGAACATGGCTATAGCAGTTCAGAAAACGATGCGCACGAGGCCCGATTACAGTATCGCGATATGCTCTTGAAGAAGAAACTAAAGCGTCGTTTTTTTTTTCTTCGCTTCTGTTTCGGGGCGCTCTGCACTGAGAAATTTACAAGTTAAATCTTCGATTAACCCTCTTTGTGGATTATCTACCCGACGACTTACACTCTTACCTTCAACGCCGATGATCTGCTAATAACGCCTGATAGCACATGCGCACGTTTACTGACGATTGCATGCCTAAGTTATCGTTTATAAAAGCGCCGATACAACCTCTCCCTCCAAGGTGGCTTTGGTCGCATTCAACGATAGGTGTGTAACAAGGCTAATGATTCGTAACATTTCTAAATGCAACATCCCTTTCACGCGAAAATGACATCGTTCGCATTTTTCTTGAAAAATTAGTAATGATACAGTGATTGCAGCCTCATGGTGCAAGCGTACATATACGTCATCCTACCACCAAGTGTTTCTGGAGTCGATCATAACTATCATTTCTGGTAATAATTCTACATCATCGGGGGTACTTCACCGCAACTTACAAAGCAGTACCCCTCAAGAGCGTAAAAATAGCTTGTAAAAAATTTACGATTCAAACTCAGCTTCGTGACCCCAGTCAGAGGAAGCGTCATTCATTCGGCCACTTCATCAGAAATACTTAACAGACTAGTTAGGACTGTCGTGTGTAGTTTTTGGGCGCAATAAAGAGTTCACCACCACCACCAACACCGATTCATAAG